TGAGCAATTATGATACGGAAGATTCTAAAACAAAGGAGAAGTTCTTGTGTTCGGAGGTTTGTGCATTATGATTAAGTTCAACCATGGAGTCTTCTAGATTATACATGTGGCAAAATCTAATGGAATATAGATGATATCCAACAGCCAGTAGTGCTCGGATTTGCCATCTCTGCAACGTCGGATTGGCTACATCCAAACGACCATCTTTCAAAATTATTCGCACACTATATAAGGGTATAGAAATATCCATAGGACCATAAAGAACACCGAAGATCACACACAGATCTGGCTAAATCACAAACCCAAAGCAGCATATACGAGGCTACTTACTTGCAGCTGCGCAACAAAAGTACATGCTTGACATATCTACATGGCCACCGATCCAGGAGTTGCTGCATCGATGTGCACCCTGCCTGTTTCTCCTTCAGTCTTGTGGCATCTTGGACAACCCGTATCTGTTCCGGTTCTCGGTCAGTCGTCTGTTGCGATGGGATTGCAGGCCAGCGCCTTGGGGATCCATGGCATGTGTGCTCCATCATGGCATAAGTTCTGCAGACAATGCGAACAAACATGGCTTTAGCCCGGGTAACTATGTAGTGTTTTTAGCATGGCCAAACACAGGAGAAGAGCAAGTTTGGGTTTTCTCTACCAAAATGTTACATAGATAATTGTGTTTTTTCAACGTATCCTTGCCTAAGGAGCTTCCACTATGAACCTTAGCTCAGCTGGGGAAATCATTAACTTCAGACCATTTAGAAATCACTAATTCTAACTTCCACTATATGATATCCTTACTACTGACAGAAAAGAACAATAACTAGGATGGTGAATATAGATCACCTCCAGCCAGAAGAAGAATTTTCGCAGGAGGTTCAGTCGTCTCTCATCAGTGTCAGCAGTGTCGATTTGCTTGGCCAGATCTGCATCAATTTTGGTAGCAAAGCACGATATTAATGCAATTGACAAATCCATCTCCAAGTAATTCATAAAATACTAATTTATGTTGCAGCACGAAAGTGTAGCCTTAGAAACTGCTACAGGCGCCATGAGAATCTTGATCACAAAGTTGATAAAAGTGGTACAGTTACTTTGCGTCAAAGCAAGGCAGAGCAATAGTGAAAACTGGACATCATGCATCTAAAATTTCAAATGTCTGTTTACAGAAGAAAGCTCACTGGGCACAATAAAGCAGCTACAGCTAATCCAAGCCACTTAAATATCAAGATTTTTTGTCCTATGATACATGTTATAAATAATTTTATTTACACACGAACCGGTGATGAACAGATTAAATTAGTGACTTCTAATAGAATTCAGTTATCCGTTTGGAAGAAAACATGTGAACATGGCTGTTAAACCACTGGTTTGGTCAAGCTATATGCTGGGAGCATAACTCAGTTATGATTTGCACTGGACCATAAAATGCACAGTTTGAGAAATGCTTATCAACACCTCGCTGAAATGAAGCTTCAAAATGAAGCTCTTAGACTACAACCACAATAAAGGCGCAACAACGGAATAACCTCATCAGGCTTAAAAGGTTGCCCATAGACAATATAGTAACCACCTGGGTAGTGATCAAGATACGACAGTCCAACGAATCCTGTGGCATAGCGCTTGGATCCACTTCGCAATTGTCTTTGTCTGCTCACAGGCTTCTGGTCAGTGGCTTTTCTCATAAGCTCTTGGTATTCATTTTGGTCATATGGCTGACTTAAAATAGAATCAAGTTTTTCATCAAATGTAGAAGGAGCACCACAACTAAGAGCAATAGGTGCTTCTTCACTATCTTCAGATGCCTGCCACAAAATAAAAAAATTACAGGCTAAAAACAGAATAATTAAAGAGATAACCAACAATACTAAGCAGAAGTAAAACTCACGTTAAAATCAGAAGATTCAGTACAAGGTACAAGTCCATGCTCATCTGTGCAGATTAAATCCTGACCATGCAAATTGTCTGGAGCAGGCCCGTCAATTCCATGTTCAGACATAACCAAAGTTCTCAATTCATCATATCCAGGGGGTGTCTCCTCCTCTTGCTCATATACCACAGTAACACCTGGTTCCAGCTCAAGAACCATGAAACCATCCTTGATCTTCATGAGGCTCAGAAATTCTGCATAAGATTCATCAACCTCTGAGGTGTTCTTCTTCACAGACAATGTCCTTGGTAGAAAGGAATGGCCCGCATTTACATCGACAGCGCCTGATGTTTGATCTAGTCGCTTGACATTTGCACCACCCCGACTTGTGTGTGGCAATTTTTGGGGGACATTTGTGCCGTCTCTGACATTCACGCCTCCATATGACATATCATCCTCTTCATACCTGACAGAAGCAGGCAAGCCATGGTCCCCATTTGGCATATGAAACACATACGCACTTCCATCTTCAATTAGATTTTCCAAGAAAATCTTGTAAGACGGATCAATGTCTGAAACATCTTTGCGAGTCAAACTGGCGAACACCTTGTTCTTGTCGTGTGATGGTCCATTCACCATTTTCTGTTTCTTCATCTGGCTGATTATCTGAAAATTGAAGAAGGCTTATATTATATATATGCATCAACAGCCATCGTATCAGTAACTAGCATAAAATCCATAGAGCAATGAACAGGTGATTCATGCACACAACCTACACCAAAGCATCATTGCAACCGCACCCTGCATTCTAACGAAAAAAAGAAAACAATGGCACTGAACAAATTTAGCGAACCCCAACTCATCACTGGGAATCCTCGTGAACTACACCGCACAACGATTCATGGATACTGCTCCTGTTCCTACCATGACAAGATAGAGGATGAGCTCAGAATTCTGACCATCTAGAATGGACAAACACTTGGTATCGAGCATACAACACTGAAACAAAATTCTGTTTCAGTGTAGGATCTCTGCAGTGCACCAGAACCATATCTCCGCACCGAACAAAACTACCACTAGAACTGCATGCGACTAAAATCGCCCTAGGACGAAAGATCCGAGCGGAAACCCGCGGAGATTGCTGGGCACACACCACAAAGCAACAAACGGAATGCGGACCCCTGGGCAACAAAACCCCATTCCGCAGATCGCAGAATAACTGCAGGCAATGCATACTGGAACGAAGTGCATGCAGCACGGAGGGAAGAAGAAACCAGTAAAAGCGCAGGGGATCCGATCGGCGGCCGAATCCCAGTCGAACACTGTAGATTTAGGTGTGGAGGATTTGGGGAACGAAGCTTACGCTTACCAGCGGGAAGAAGAGGAGACCGGTGGTTTGGTCCCCTTTGCGCTTCCTTCCGATAATGGCGGGCGGCAAGGGGGGATTTACTGCTGCCGAGCGAGCTTCCCCGCCGTTGTAGATTTAGCAGCGTTCGCCGTGGTAGGAACAGCGAAAGCGGACAGCGAGCAGGGACAAGTCCGGGAAGAAGAAGATGCTCCGCTCGGAGCCGGAGTGCCGTCGTTTCAGTTCGAATAGGCCGAGAGAAGGCCCACGTAGGCGCTAATGGGCCAGCCAGCCAGCCCGCGAGCTAGCGGAAACGGTAAACGTCGACGGCGACGGACGGACGGCGAGAGGAGAGGAGGAGAGGCGAGCAGAGAGAGAAAAGAAAAGTAAATCCACGGCCGTACGCGTCGTCAGTCCAGCCGTTGTGGAGAGGAGAGGAGGCTTTTCCCCCGGCCTCGCCCGTCGTCCTCCTCACCCACCTGACAGGCACCGGCACCACCAGCACCGCCCCGCCCCGCCCCGCCCCGCCACGCCAAGCATCCCTCCCCTCCTCCCCTCCCCTCCCACGGGCCCCAACCAACTCGCCCCGCCGTCG